ATCATGTGTGCTGGTTAGGCTACACCAGGGCTTTCCAAAATGGCAAACCTATTTCATGCACGAAAAGCTTGGTTTTAAAGACTAAAATCCTATGCATGTTTACTGGGAAATAATTCCAGCTGACTGGGACTTTAGAGTAAATGTCCATAGGACTGCCCTGGAAGAGAGTACAGACTGGAAGGACAAATCCTGTAGAAGGTCCAGCACTCCAGTGGATTCACAACTGCCACTTTTACATGGATACCTTTTCAAGTGAGGACTACCCTGGGGTGTTTTACCTTCCCAAGAAAGGCTGGGACAGGGCAGGTCTGGGAGGTGATGTGTTTCCCAGTCCTGGCCTGTGATAAAACGAGATCCAAAGGTGCTGCCAAAACCTTGGGAGTTGTCCTTCCAAACGTGCTGTCACTTTAATCAAAACGTGGCTCCCCAGCTTTCCCCAAGTTAACCAGATTTTTTTATTATTTATAGCAAAGGGGTAAAACAGGTTTGATCAAAAGACGTCCACTGCATGGGCTTCCCCCTTCACCTACCCTGTTTCCCCGAAAATAAGCCATACCCCAAAAACATGCCCTAGCAGGATTTCTATGCATTTGTGGTATGAGCGCTTATGCCCTGCTTTTCTCCCCACCAGGGACCCCAAAGCAGCTTACGGCACCGTCCCCCTTGCCTCCATTTTATCTTCACAATGACCCCCTCCGCAAAGTAGGCTAGGCGGATAAAGACTGACTGGTCCACCATGGTCACCCAGTGAGCTCCCATGGCAGGAGTGGGGGTTTAAGGAAGGATCTCCAAGACCTCAGTCCAACAGTCTTAATCATTACACATCATGTGTGCTGGTTAGGCTCTACACCAGGGCTTTCCAAAATGGCAAACCTATTTCATGCACGAAAAGCTTGGTTTTAAAGACTAAAATCCTACGCATGTTTACTGGGAAATAATTCCAGCTGACTGGGACTTTAGAGTAAATGTCCATAGGACTGCCCTGGAAGAGAGTACAGGCTGGAAGGACAAATCCTATAGAAGGTCCAGCACTCCAGTGGATTCACAACTGCCACTTTTACATGGATACCTTTTCAAGTGAGGACTACCCTGGGGTGTTTTACCTTCCCAAGAAAGGCTGGGACAGGGCAGGTCTGGGAGGTGATGTGTTTCCCAGTCCTGGCCTGTGATAAAACGAGATCCAAAGGTGCTGCCAAAACCTTGGGAGTTGTCCTTCCAAACGTGCTGTCACTTTAATCAAAATGTGGCTCCCCCAGCTTTCCCCAAGTTAACCAGATTTTTTTATTATTTATAGCAAAGGGGTAAAACAGGTTTGATCAAAAGACGTCTACTGCACGGGCTTCCCCCTTCACCTAAGTGCCAGAGGCAGCTTCGCACGCATGCATGCAACTGGGGAGCACAAAGGGAGCGGCCACTGCCTCTTGCCTCTAAAGGGAATGGGGAAGGGCGTGAGCACGTGCGGACATCAGGTGTGCACAACTATCAGTGTTGCTCTCTGGATCAGCAACCACAACCCTACGAAAGGACAGGACGCCTGGGTGAAAGGGGCACCCTTGAATTTGGGAGGCAATCTGGTGAAAGAGAGCATGTTTGCATCATTCCCCAGTATAAAATTTGACACTCAGGGCAAATATAAGTTTTTGGATTGACAACTCTTTGGTCTTGTCAAACAAGTGAATAGTCAACATTATTTCTATGATTTTTTTAAACTCCTTAGTCCTAGGTATGGCTGTCACAATACCCTTTAAAATGTAGTGCGTGAATATGACAAACACAAGTATTGTACAGGCTCTGGAACTGACTGCATCTTCCCATGGAGCGATGCTAACCAGCATTTGCTGCTGTGTACTGTGTGAAAGAGAAAGAGGTGAAAAGAGAAAAACAGTGTTCAATACAGAAATCTTGCCTATTCAGACCTGTTAGAGCAAATAAAGGCAACCAGAAAACACTGTGAACTAAAACAGTTTGTTTAGGTGCGCAGGGGGGACGACATAACTTATAAAAGATCTTAACATTAGTAAAACTTCCAAGAAAAAGAGATATTCATATTTATTTCACACATACATGCAAATATACAAACAAACAAACAAGGTATGGAGTTTTAAAAACTTTCCTGCAATCGTAATTTGAGGGGGAGGGGGGGGAGTCCTGAGAATGTTTTATGAAATGAAACAAGAGCTGAGCTTATGAGTTGTTAATAGATCTAAGGCAACACATTCACTTGGTTCTGACATCTTCAATATAAGTAATCTACTGCTCCCTGTGCAATGCTGTGTCTCCCGTGACTACTGTTAATCTTGAAGTATAGCTCTTATGTCAGTATCTCCAGGTTCTAATCCCACTTCAAACTAGTGCCTCCTTTTGCTGATCAGCACCAAGGCAGGCCAAGAATCCCGTGTGCTCTTAATGTTCCAGGAAATATAAATCATCAGGACAGGGATGAGGAGCTTCCAGGAAGGCAATCAAAGTTTATCTGAGTCTTGCAGTTCCTAAGATTGCGCTTCCGCTGTACCCGCAGGTGAGTAAATGGCTCAAAACATTTGTTTGTGCCAATGTGTGTGACAGATCAGCCATGCCTTTCCAGGAACAGACTAAAAGCCTCTTGACTGACATGGAACTCGAGGGGGGAAAGAACAAAGGCAGACACAGTGACTGCCTGAAGGAAGTGAGGGACTAAAAAAGCTTTATTCCTCTGCAAGAAGAGCAACAATAAAAAGAAAATCAAGTCATTTTGGTTTCCACGGAGATGGGGGAACATGAGAGATCAGAGAACCTCAATCTGCAGATTAATGGGTTGGAAACAACTCCCCATCATCTCATGGAAAAATAAAAATTACACATGAAAGTCAAAAGGCTGCTTTCTAGCACCGGACTCATTTCATGGTTGAGCTTGATCCAGCGAGCCACTAGCAGAATAGCAAAAGGACATTAATTGTTACACAGCCTTGAAATGCTATTAATTTTCTTACTCATCTAGCAGCTTAAAAGGTCCCTGTTCATACTGAAAAAGCGGAAAAATGTGACTCTCTTCCCTATCCTGTCGGGGAGGGAGGGTTTACAGCTATTACTTCCCACCCTGACAATCTTTCCTAAAGCTGGGACCTGTGAAAGGGCAATGAGAGTTTGTAATTTTCACCCAATGTCTTGAAATGCTGATGATGGGACAGGCTCCATAACCTCGGGCTATCCCATTACATGCAAGCACATAAGCCTCTTCTTAGACCAGATTCCAAACTCATTCCATTACTCCTATTTTACGTTCATGTAACTATACGTTACATATATAGGAGCTGCGGT